GCATAGTAACGAAGACCTCAAGTGAGTTTGTTTTTTAGAGCCTGGGAACCAAACATTTACATCACTTCCATTTAACGTGTTTAAGAATCGAAACATATAACTTTTATAAGCAAAATACCGCTATAGACGATGATCCAGATAGCCATACTTTCATTCTACGTCCCCAACACGCATCCGAGACCTTGGAGCGATAGCCCGTTGAACAGACAAATGATCGGGGCCTTTTTTAACCCTCCCCGTCCAGCAGTGTGGTTACTTATGGCGGGCTACCAGTCTTTATCCATTCGCCAGCTCAAACCGCGTTCAAAGACGCCAAAGGCTCTGTCAGACCGAGCTTAGCTGCCTTGATGGATGCCTCTGTGAGTAAGGGCTCGTCAAGCGGAGTCGCCAGGTCCACGTCTGTAGCACTGCTGGCATCACTCGCAGTCTCGAAAGGTCTGTACAGAGCCTCGGCAATGTGGGCCTTGGCCAGTCCATCGGCTAAAGGAAAGAAGAAAGGTCAGTTCACTACGTCTCGAAATCAGGGCAAAATCATGAAGTGAACATACCTCCGTAAGCGAGCTCGACGGGGACGGTAGAGTCAAGACCCCGCGTTCTCCTGATGTGGGAGATGTAAGCGGCGCTCATGATGTAGGCGGGGATAGCGTGGTCCGCCAAGTTGGAGGTGAGCTCGGGAAGAGTCTTTTTGTCGTGGAGGAAGTCCACAGCCTCCCACAAGATTCCGCGCTTGACGTTCTCGGAATAGATGCCGGGCATAGCGGTGTTGTAGCGGCGGTCGAGGTCGGCGACGGTGAAGGTCTTCAGGGGGGCCTCGTCGCCGGTGATGTCGTGGTTGCGGAAGACGTGGACCTCGAAGTGGTTGTCGGTGCCGATCTCGCCGGTGCTGGGCTTGGAGCGGTCGTGCTTGTCGTTGGCCTGACGGGAGTCGATGACAATGGTCTGCAGAGGGCCGCTGCGGATCTCATGGGCCTCATGCTTGACTCTTCCGTTGCCCTTGTACAGGTCAGCGCCGGGCTGCAGCCAGCTGCGGCGGGAAAAGCCATTGTGAAGGAGGTTGATCTGGGCGATAGCGATGGCGTGACCCCCGCGAGAGAAGGTGACTTGGATGGAAGCGTCGATCTCTCCCATGTCGGCCATGAGCTTCATCAACTCCTCATCGGTGTACTTCTTCCACTTGGCGTACTCCTCCTTTCCAAAGATGTGGTCGTAGTCGTCCTCGTTCAAGGTGGTGACGAAACCAGCGGGGAGTACAAAGCTGCTGGAAATCTCCATCTTGTCGGGGCGCTTGGTGTCGGACCAGCCGGATCGCATAAAGTTGTAAATCATGTCAAAGAAATGGTAGCCGCTGTGAGAGACCTTGCCGTAGCCTGTACGGTAAGGGTGGTACGGCTCGTCCACGATCTCTGAAGGCATGCGCCATTTACCATCGCAATGTGTTGAGATGATGTTCGTAACGGGACATCTGGTCTTCTCCTGAATCTCCTTGATCATGTCGAAGGTGCAGTAGAATCCAGGGTGGTAGCGGCGATGGCTGTTCATCTGGAAGAATGTTGGCTTCTGGCCTTGAGCGATCTGACGCTTTCGGAGCTCTTCGTAGGCATCAGCAAGATCCTGGTAGTCCTCGGCAATTCCGAAGGCTGCATCGAAGTCGGTGACTGCGCCGTTCCTAGTCGAGATAGGCTTGTCCATGATGATGTTCAAACCTGCGGAAACAGCCCAAAGACCATATGACTTATGGGCAAGAGGCTCGGTGCTGATGACCGCGCAGGTCACTCCAGTCCGCGCCACAACTTCGTTCAGGCGCGCGGCGACGTCGGCAGGCATGGGTCCGTCGTAGGCCGGGACCAGAACCAGTTCCGCATCCGGAGCCATTCCCTTGGTGAACAAGAGGTCTTCCACTCTGTCCTTGCATCGCTCGATATCGACAACAACTTTGAGATAGGCCCTGCCCTCTTCGCGGAGAGTCTTGAGATGGGGAATATAAGTTCTCTTGGCGTGAGCGCCAGCACCGACCAGAAGGAACTTCTCCATGGCAGGCTCGGGAGCTGCCGCGTTTTCAATTGAGTTGGTGGCCGTCATCTTGAATTGTGTTGTGATGTACTACACTCCAATAAATGTTTGTGAGTCTAATCTGAAGGCCAACCTGACGAAGCTGTACAAAGAATGATAGGAATGAATCTCAGAACAAACATGTAATTCGGTCGAAGACAGCGAGCTTCCTTTATCGAAGTTGGAGATGGCTCAGGGCAACTGACTAGAGTGTTCACCCAGTCTCCGATATTCTCAATCTTCGTGCAATAGCCCCGAATGAATGACTTCTGCTGAGATGTTTTGGCAAGCAAACATAATCATCAGTTCAGTGCCAAGAATCCGTTGGTAAGGCTACATGTATGATGGCAAGACAGTCGGTGTTCCTTAGTCCCTCATGCCACTCTAGAGGGCCTTGCCTGTCAGCATTAGAGTTGAGCCGTAGGGAACTCGAACGGGCCACAGCTTCAATCTTCGTGAAAAATCGAACCGTTGTCACCATCGACTATTCGACTATTTCCATTGGCTCAATTGCATCATCACTCAAAGCAACTGCCAAGTGTAGTTTGGAATGGTAAGCCTTAACCAGCATGCCAAAATGCTTCTACATGGAACAAGCTGAGAGTAAACGACCGGTCAAAATAAGCACGTCGATATTGGCCCAGGCAATTACCCAATTCAGGGGTGCCCTTGAGACGCATCTATGCTGGTAAGCAAGTGATTATGTGTATTGAACACACTTATGCTTCATATGTGCATACATCTAAGCAAAAAGGTGGAGCACAGGCGATCGGAAAATTTAACTTCTTGCTTAGTTTGAGTCTTTGCGTAAGCAGTTACTTTTGTATTATCTCGCTAATAGCACAATGTTCAGACCCTTTGCGATGTAGCGATACGACCAGCAAGGCTTAGTGAACTTGAACTTTCTCAGGTAAGGTAAGGTAGGTAACAGACATGTAACATGCTACGCGCTAAATTTAGTTGGGTTCACAGCACCGTTAACCGTAACGTAGAGGGATCCCCCAATACTACAGTATACATGGAGGCAACAACATCAACATGAAGTTTAGTTATCTCGTTAGTATGGCTTGGTAAAAGCTTTTGCACATGATTCCTTCCCCAATGGATTCAGTCACAGGTTTTAGGGCTACCCGACAACCACTAGAAGAGTTATACAGCTATTCTCAAAACTCCGAGTTTTCGAATAGCTCAGAATGTCACGATAGACATGGAAATACGGTGTCAAAGGGTGATTATGATCATACAATGACAGCAGGGAGTGGGATAAAACAGTAGAAAAGTGTTATTGATCTCGTCTATGGACACTTTCCCGGCGATTTTGACCCTTTGGTCAAACAGAATAGATGATTTTAGCCACAGAATGCCTACATCGCATTCACCACGGAAGCTCCTTGTGATCATAGGTGCGGAATGCAGCTGCAGTCTCCCGGGTCGCTTGATCAATCTGCTCAACAGTTAGTTTCGAGCAATGCAGCTCGTATAACCATCCGAGCATGCATACCTCAGTGAGAATGGAGTCCGTCGCCTCAGCGACAGAGACAGGGGCCTCCTTTTTTCCGAACCTGACCGCAGCAGCGTTGCCCATCTCCGTTTGCATCCACCTTTTCACCCCGCAAAGACATTCATTAGCGATCATTATCGAACGGTATGCAAAGCAGAAGATGAGGAGGGGAGAAAGAGAGAAGTGACGGCTTACCCTGGGTGCAGAGCAAGGGCGATTAGACTTTCGTTCTCTCTCCCAATCCTGCGGACCATGAAGTTGACCGCGGCCTTGGAGGAGCCGTAGGCCGCGCAGGGCGAGGCATACCGAGGGACCTCGCCCAAACTCCCGGCAATACTCGAGATCACGACAAACTTTGGTGTCGACGATCTCGCTAAGAGGCGCCACGTAGCCTGGAATAGAAGCAAGGGCGCAACGGCGTTTACAGTGAAGCAGTCGAGGACGTCTTCAATTGGTGTCTCCGCAGCCGGGGTAGGGGCCTTGCTGATGCCCGCGTTGGCGATTACCACGTCGATCGTATCCACTCCATGATCGTGGACCAGTTTCTCAATCGCAAGCGAGGCGTCCTTCGGGGAACGGCTGTCGATTGTGATGGTGATTAGTCTGCTTCCGGAGTGGGTGCGAAAGCTGAGCAAATCGGAGGCCTGGTCTTGAGAGCGCGTTGCGGCAATGACTGTGGTGTTGGGCCGTTGGAGGAGCGCCTCGGCGAGGCCGCGACCGAGGCCTGCTCAGTTGATGCCCAGTTAGATCCAGGTGTACCGAATGGGGCTTTTTGGGAAAGTAAATTTGATGAGGCACGTACCGCGACCCGCTCCAGTGATCAAGTATGTGGCGCTTTCTGACATGGCTTGGGATAACTTCGGAGAGTGATGAAAAGTCCGTTCACGGTCTTGGGAACCGGGAAGATGTCCGTATAATGGCGGTGTGATCTTAAATATGTATTTCGAGGCAGTCTCTTTATAACAGGGGGCGATATGATGACATGCTGTTCTGCATAAGCTGAGTTTCGATCGCTTTTGCCCCAGGTCAGCATGTACTATGCTTCGAGATGCCATATTGGAAGCGGTAAGCATAGCTGAGGCAATCTTCTGCTCGGGCTATAATTCAATACTACCGAGAAAGTTACGTGTATAGGTTATACAGCCTCGAACCTTCCTTTCCCACAGTCCGCCCACATCCCACATCCCTTGTGCTTCTTCTGGTAGTCACTTAGAAGTCACAACTCAGCCCAACTCGGTCTTTTGCCCAACAGACCGTATATCCACTTTCATACTTCTCATCTCCATCCTCCAGAGTGAATCTCATGTGTCTAGTGATCTGGTCCAGCCAACCAAAATCGCATCCAAGTGTCGCGTCGAGCTGCCGTTTTGAGAATGCAGCCTAGATCGGTCGTGTGAAGCACAACGCTACCACGTGAATGGACTTTCTAGTCCTTCGCATACTTGTCAGTTTACCATTTGCTTTTGAGGTTTCTGTCGTGCAGGAGCCGAGCAACGAAGATGATGGCTCCTCCTCCGAGCAGACAACACCCCTAAGAATATGCCGTTAGCAATGATTTCTGATCAATAAGACGGAGAAATGCAAGACTTACTGCAAAGATGATCAGAGAATGGTACCCGGCTCGGGTCTCACTTGTAATCAACGCGCCAGCGATTGGACTGCCGGTCAAAAACGCCATGGACGTAACGGTGCCAAAAGCGCCGAGCCTTGCGCCCAACTTATCAGCAGGGATGATTTGGCCGGTGGCGGCAGGCATGACTGAGATGAAAACCCCAGATGCGAAGCCGTAGAGGCAGGCAAAGCCAGCCAGAACGCCAGGGTTTGTAGCAGGGAGCCACATCGCCACGCACAAAAGCCCACATAGAAGGATCATGGGGTAGAGAAAGTTCAGCCGTCCGATGCGGTCCGCCGCATGACCCCCACTATGAAAGTTAGTTTGCTGAAGAATGTGGGTGGAGACAGGGAAGACTGCGTACATAATACGACCAAAAAGACTGGCCGCGTTGATCAGCGGGAGAAGGTAAGGCCGAATGGTCGAATTCGGATCAAGGGCGACGCAAAACGGCTCTGGATTTTGTTAGACGGCGATTTGCAGGGTACGAAGCCGAAAAGATGTGGGTTCATGCACTTACCAATGTAGTAGAACGGAACGTAAATGCCGAGACTTGAGATGACTGCTCCGGCTGAGAGACAAGAGTATCGGATGTCGAGAAAGCCTTTGTAGTCAAGCAGATCCCTAAGAGATCTCATCTTCCTCTTGGGCCGTTTAGACGAGGAGACGGCTATGGCTATAGCGTAGCAGATGACCATGATCAGGGCCCCGACACGCAGTGCCCACGGAAAACCAATGGTGGGAATCAGTTTGGAGAACATGATTGGCAGGCAAACTCCTCCGAAACTGCTACCGGAGGCGACGATTCCCATGGCCAGAGCACGCTTGCGGTGGAAATACTGCCCTGCAACCGTGAGAGCGGGCTATCACACTGGAGTCAGTATGTTCAAGAGCTTACAATGACCCGAGAGGTTACTAGGGATCAAGATTCATCTGCATGAATCTAGCATGCCATCACCGGACCCGGTCCACTTGTCCTCCATATGTCCAGAGTGTGGGGCCGAGGATGAGCGTTGGTAGTTCAACAGGAGGAGAGTAAACTACTTACTTGCACTCCATAGGCGACTGTGAGGCCGAAGAGAAGTGATTGGGCCAGAAATTGCTGCCAGATTGCATTCGGCTGCGTGAAGGATGTCGCAAGCATGGAGCCGGCACCACCAATGGCAGCGAACAGGTAGAGCCACTCACATGAAAGTTAGCGAATTTATAACCGAGGAGTGGGACTTGGGAGCAGGGCTACATACTTTGGGACCGTAGAGATCAAATAGTGCTCCGGCAACAGCACCTGACAGATACATCAGGGTGATCTGCAGGGTTCCGATGAAGGAAATGGCGGTGGGCGAGTAATTCGTCAGGTACTCTTGTTGATAAAAGGTCTGGAAGAAGCCGAAGCTGTTCACGACACCGAAAGATGCGAAGTAAACGAGGAAGGAGCCCGCAACGGCAAGCCATGCCTGGGTACCGCCCTCCGGGTAGACTTCATGTTCTGGTTCTGCAGGGGATGATTCTCCGTCTCCGTGCTGGGTTCCGGAGATGGATTCAGGGTCCGGGTCCGAAGAGGGGACGATGGAGCCGCCCTGCTTCTCAGACTGAGACTGATCTGATAGAGTGTTACCTGCCATAGTTCACAAAGTGAACTGGCCTGCTTAAAAAGTGGGTTAGGTAGCAAGTATGCTTACAGCGAGGATGATTGGCGACCGCGACGAAACCGTCAGTGGCAGTAACGATTCTGAGTGGTCGACTTGCCGCCTTACCAAGGTGAGAAGACGAGTAGGTGAGGAGGTGAGGGTTTGATGATAGAAGAAAGACGCACCAAGGCAAGTAACAGGCAGGTTATAGTTTATATACCATGTCAGACGCGGACATTCGTATTCATCCACACATGCATTCAACCCGTGTGACGGTCCGTACACGGTGGATCAGATGTGGGTGCCACTAAGGTGGAAAGGGACAACAACATCCCAGGGTTACACTCGAAATTGATAAATCGCGTCTTCGTTCGGCTATATGGCAGCATATCTGATAAATGACTTGACCTAGACCTAGCATTACCCTGTTTTAATGTACGAAATATGAAAAGCTTGTGTCTTTACACAACCAATCATAATAAACCATATCTCGGGCGGATATATGTGGAGTGTAGTTCCACAGAACCCTTATGGATAGTTTGTACACGCGCACTGACATGGATGTTGCCCCCCGGGGCCGACCTCCGGGAGGGGCTTCCGGAGGGGCTTCCGGAGGGGTCCGGCACTGCCGCTTTCAATAATTTTCTCCATAATACAACCGAATCGACCACTCCTTTGAACATGTGGTACATTGCCCATGTCGCTGGCTGGTATGCTGGCAGCTTAAGGTTTGTGTAATGGTCTTTGTCTCCACGCCAGCCCAATTTTCCTACAAAACTCAAATCCTTTTCAGTCTTCGATTCTTTCCAGTCGCCATCAGCGCCACGGCACGATTTACAGCGTACTTATGGTAGACCACAACGCATGGCTGCTATGTGGTACTACATGCAGACCCTTAGGAAACATTCTCCTTTCCTGACACAATGTTGTTCCACTCTTCTTCCCGAGACACGGAGCATTTCAGAGAGTCATTGGAGCCCGTAATTACGGACACATTCGAGTCATTTTTCACATTCGAGTCAATGTTTACTTTCAGAAGTTGAACTGCCTTTCTCGGCGCCAAGATCCCGCCCTAGATCACGGATGCCCTCAGCACTCGTCACGATCTCTTTTGGACCGCAGTTGGGTTGCATTAGTCCCCATCACGGCTTCAACACCCGTCCCCGCAGGCCGTGCTTCTGAGTTCCAATCTTCTGATTCGGGAAGATCCGACCCTTCCCGCATGCTCTCGGGACTTGGCCTCAACGAGAATATATATTACCGGATTACTTGGCGGTCTCTTCGGCTCTCTCGGACGAATATCGTTCTCGGAAGCTCTTGTTAAGTGTGAATTTTGGCGTTTCGGTTGAAGTACCCTGAGAATGGCAGGCAACGTTGTTAGCGAAAGGAGACGGCAACAGAATAGAGAGGCCCAGCGAACCTACAGTAGGTTGCATCCGGATACCCCACCCGCGAGCTAAGCAGTGGAAGTAGCGTAAGTGATGCTGACACCCTATAGGGAAAGGCCTACTCAAGCGCATCGAGGATCTCGAGAATCAACGGAGTGCGTCCCCGGCAGGTTCAGGCGGGAGTGGCACCACCAAACCGACGCCGACTTCAACGAATAATCACGAGACGCAACGAGATCACCAAACTATGGCCCCTTCCGACGACGAGGCTTTCTCATTTCGGTCCTCTCCGATATCCAGAGCGCTTAGTCTAGACCCCATCATCGAATCTACCCTCAACCCACGGCGTGGTTTTATGGACCCGCTGTCGGGCTACCCAACTTTCGATCATGATGACAACTCCGCAAACACAGATACCCAGGTAAGAAAAATTTAATGGTGTGTCGAAGACTTTCTTATGTCAATGCTGAGACTATCGGCATGTAGACAGGCATATCATTATCTTCCTGGTTGAAAAACCAGGAGGCCAACGAAGCCATCTTTGGAAATCAGTCCACTATAGGCGGAGTTGGCGGAACAGTACTCCACGCGGCTGTTGTGCACGGCAATGAGGCCATCGTCAAACTACTGATCGAAAAGGGAGGAGACCTAAATGCGCTGACGCAACAGCGCAAGGACACGCTTCATCTGGCCGTAGAGAGTAACCAGATGAACATCGTCCGCCTCGTGCTCAAGGCGGGTGCCAATGTGAACAGCGTAGATGGGTGCGGGCACTCGGCTCTCTTCAAAGCCATTTTAGGCGGGAACGAGGACCTGGTGCGTTTGCTTTTGGAATATGGTGCCGATGTCAACCAGTCTATTGCACTTGTCCCCGAGGCATCAAGAATAGGCGTCACAAGTGTTGCATCTGGCTTTGTATGACACTACTAAATGATTTGTATAAATTCAAAAAAAAGAAAATAACTATCGCATGTCGTATTACCTACATGAAGAAAAAGAAATTTGCTGCGTCTATCGGGGATGCGACTCATGCTTCTTAAATGCACCCAAAGGGCAAGGTATGGGTTCATCCCCATCACAATACAATGGGAACTGCCTCAGCCGAGAACATCAAGCAAAAGTCCATGGAGCTTGGCAACAATCAGATCCACCTCTTTCTCGCTGACAGTATATGCAGGAGCAATTGTAATGTGGTCTCCAGAAATACCATCGGCAGTTCCAGCTCCTGGATAGAAATAAACGTTCCATGGCTCAGAGAGACCAGTCTGACTTATCCTAGCAGATATGGCATCCTCTGCAGGGAAAGGCTGCTTCGTGGCCTTATCCTTGACGAACTCGACCGCCCACATCAGCCCCCGGCCTCGAATGTCCCCAACATTGGGATGACCGCTCAGAGCAGCGCGCAGAGCCGCTCCCAGACGCTCTCCCATGCGCATCGAGTTTTCCACGAGACCTTCCCTCTTGATGATACGTTGAACGGCAACACCCGCTGCGCATGCCACGGGGTGCGAGCTAAAAGTGTGCCCGTGGTTCCAGACGCCGGATCCGCCGTCGATGGCATCGACCACCCTCTGATGAACGAGCATCATTGCGACGGGTGCGTACCCGCCAGCGACGCCCTTTGCTACTGTCTGGATGTCGGGGATCACATCTTCCTGTTGCCAGGCATGGTAGGTCCCCGTGCGGCCGATGCCGCAGAAAACTTCGTCAAGGATTAGCAGTGCCGAATGCTTGTCGCATACCGCTTTGATAGCCTTGAAGTATCCCGGAGGCGCAGTGTGGCAGCCCAGTGCCTAATTTTGTCAGTCAACGGTCCCGTAAACGTGATGGAGAAGCTTTGAAAACTCACACTTCCGCTGACCGTTTCTGCAATAAAGGCACAGACATTGTTGGGTCCGCGAAGCTCGAATTCAGCGTCGAGCTCACACGCCAGTCTCTCGACGTACTCCTCCGTAGTCTCGCCATCGAGCATGCCGCGATACATGTTAGGCATCGAGACAAAGGATACCATGTCGCTCTTGAGGAGCGGTTCAAACGGTTTACGGAACGCGACTTTGCCGCTCAACGCAAGTGAGCCCAGAGTGGTTCCGTGAAAGGCACCCGCTCGGGCTATGAAGCCCGCCCTATTGGGTACGCCAAGTTCCGCAAAGTACTTTACTGCGAGTTTCATTGCTGCCTCGACAGCCTCCGAGCCTTGCATCATTTAGCAAGGTACAAGACATGGGGCGATTTAGCTACTAGATAGACTTACCAGAGCTCATGATGGTTCCTTTTGCAAGCTTTCCATTCGTAGTCTCAATCACCGCTTTGGCGAGTTCTTCGGCCGGCCGGTTGGACTGATTCAAGGCAAAGCAGTAGGACACGCTCTGCATCTGCTCGACAACAGCCTGAGTAACCTCAGTGTTCCCATGGCCGAGACAGGCGACGGCAGGGCCTGCACACGCCTCAAAGATCCGGCGGCCATCTTCGAGTATCAAGTACGACCCTTTGCCAGAGGCTACAATCGGCGGCGGCTTTCTGTGGATGTTGGGATGCAAAATGCTGGTCTTGGACTGGTCGATGACTGGCGTTCTCTCAGCTGGTGCAACTTTGGGGACGGCCATGGTGAAGGTTTGAGTGTGGGGCAATAAACACAGTATTCGGGTGCAAGTTAAGCGCGACGAGATGAGGTAATTTGGAATGTTTATAGACTGACTAGACTTGAAATAATTACAACAGTAGATTAAAAGGGAACGCCTAGAATTACGAAGAAAAATATCAGGTTGACGCTACTACTCGACAATGTTCAGTGTTGCTGAGTTGTCTCTCAAATGTGCTTACTTGCTGTACAAAACCATATCTACAAACCTTGATTACCCGGTAAGTTTCCAGCTTAGTCGCACCGGCGTGCGGACCCGTCGCCAAATTACCTAGCTTTTCTGATTTCCCTTTTCATCGTTGCTTCTCTGCCTTCCTTTTCTTAATCCCCTTGCGTTTTACTTGTGTTTCTCTTCCGTAAAGGAGAATTCAGACAGCATAAGTACCTGATCTTGGTAGACGCCTTTGAGAATATAAATCCGCCCTGATGTGGCTAGGCCTCGTTGGATCAGAACAGATATATGTAAACTTATCAAGTTCATGGGTATTGTAGCAACTAAGCCCAGATAGCTGTCAATGGCATTCAGTGTATTCAAAGTGGTAAATCGAATTGATGTGTCTTCCGTAAGGGTACTAATTGCTGGGGTATTGAGAGAAGCCGATCATCTTGTACATCTTATTTTGATTTCTTGAGTTGTAGAGCCAACACCATCGAATAAGGTAGAGTTGGCAAGGTACAGGAAAGAGTGACTTTGTCCCTTTGCTTTCATTAAGGTACCACTCCCAATATCCTGGCTCGAATGATAAGTATTATAAAGCCAGAAACGTCAAAAGTCGATACATTGGGGTGCTTCCACTTTGATGAGGACGCCGAGAAGAAGTCAGTAAATTGAATCACAAGATCAAAGAGTTTCTCTTTTCTAGCAAAGTGCAAGACAACAACTCTTCTCGCGTTCATTGCAATAAACTAGAGCTAAAGCTGTCTGCGCCTAAACAGTATCTCCTGTTCCTCCCCCGGAGTGATCATCG